GCTTGATTGCATGAAATACTGTTAGATGTGTCCTTAGTGAAAAAGCTGGTCCTGACATAAAATATAAATTTAAATACAAATAGAAATGTGTGTGTGTATGTATAATGTTGGGTTATCAGAAAAGTCATGATGCATTTTTTCATGGAGAAACAGAAAACTATGTCATGTCTTTTCCAACAACCCAGTATATACACACACACACACGCATATATATCTATATCTATATCTATATCTATATCTATATATATGGATGTATACACACATATATATTATAATTTATTAACTTAGGTTTTTGTGTAGGGTGCGTGTGCTCACCAGAGAGAGAAGAAACGTGAGTAATCATTCCCCAGGGTGGGGGGCCACACTCTAAACCCTTTCATTCTCCTCTCAGAATTTTGGCCACACATGCACAGGAAGCCCGGCTTGTTTTCCAAGCCACCAGTCCCAAGACTCTGAACCACAGAATCAGCCCTGTGGTATCCAGTGCCTTAATCACCATACCATCTGTTGGCCCAAAATGGTGTGTGTGTATGTGTATAATTTTTTTATTTAACTTTATTTATTTTAATTTGATCAGAGAGGGACAGAGTGAGAGGGAGAGGGAAAATGAAAAAGCAAGCCACTTGGTCCAGGACTTGAACTGTGGTCATGTGGACGTCCAGCACCCTTAACCTCCACACTACCTGTCGGCCCCATAGAATGCTATATTTTGTTTCTGAGAGATTGGGGAAAATGCTAAGAAATTTTTATAGGGCGTGTGCTCATTGAGAAACAGCAAGAAATCACCCCCTGGTGGAGATAGCCATGTTGCAATCCCTTCTCCTCCATTTTCCTCTTGGGATCCTGGGCATGTACACACACCTGTCTGGCGTGAGTTTTAAGTTGCCACATCCAGGACTCGAACTGTGGTTGAATATGTGGGAGTCCAGCGAAGCAGCCATTATACCATCTTCTGGTCCCAAGAGCTTAATTATTTTTTTCTTCCACAGAATCTTAGTTTGCCTCGCCTACTCCCCCAGTGTATTAATCAGTATTCCCAGATTTAGAAATTTTCTCAAATGTGCAAGATAATGTTTGAAATTGAAGAAGAGGTGACTGAAATAATTTCTCATGTCTCTCTTGTCCTTCCTTTTCCTTGTGACTCGGTGATTAGGAAGAGAAAACAAGGTGGCCTCTTGTTAGAAGAGGAGGAGGAGGCCAAGAAGGAGTCTGAAGGAAGCAGCAGTGAGGAGGAAGATGAAGCTACAGAACAGGAAAAAGGCCTTGGGTCAGAGTATGCAAGGAAAAAGAAGGAGGATGAACTCTGGGCCAGCTTCCTCAACGACGTGGGACCAAAATCAAAGGCGCCCCCAAGTACGCTCGTTAAGGTAAGTTGGGATAAATAAGATGGATACCTCTCTGGAAATACCCTAAATTTCCCAGATAGATTTGTTTTTTAATTTATAAACCAAGATTCAAAGCTTGTAGCAGAAATCACACTAGATGCCGTTTGATAATAACTCTACTAAGTGAAAAGCAAAGCATTCTTTACGGTGGGAAAGTACACCTTTCTAATCAAATACATTTCCGATAGGCCTTTAACTAGTTGGAGATGAAGGATTTAAGTACAACTATAAATAGCATATTAAGTGGTATCCTCTGGTGAAATTATTACATTTCTTCCTTTTTTTGTAGAAAGGAGAGGAGACTGAAGAGACGAGTTCAAGTAACTCATTGGTCGAAGTAGAAGAGCTAGAGAAACCTAAAGAAACAGAAAAAGTTAAAATCACCAAGGTGTTTGATTTTGCCGGTGAAGAAGTAAGGTGAGAGGACCTTCACAGACTTGGGAACTAGTGCAAACTAGTGCTGTTAAAAATGAACCTGTTTCTAAATAGTGTTCGTTACCTGTCGTCATTCCAACCTCTCTCCCTGTTTTGAAAGAGTTAGGCTTTAACTCAAGCAAACTGTAGTCCCTAAGATTCAGGGAGCAGGAGAAAGGTCCTTTCATATGGAGCAAATTCGTTTTTAGGTCTTAGGGAACGGTCAGCTGAACGGAAGCAAGGAAATGTTCCATGCTTGAGTGCATTTGCTCTTTACCGTACTTTGTGACTTCAGGTAAGTCGTGTCTCCTTTTGTTCCTTTCCTTGACCGATATAGCCCCAGTGAGGCCTCTGAAGTTAGATACGAATTGAAAGTATTAGGAGAGAAATTTAGTTTAGGAAATATTATTTCCTTTCCTTGATGTTATTTATTTATTTATTTTCAATTGATTCATGAGATTTGTTCACCATGGTTTAAGAAAACAGGAGCTTAGTGTCTCGACCGTTTTAGCCTCCTGATAAAAGCCATCTGCCTGGAATTTCCTCTCTCCCATACATTTAGATTTTATTATGTGAAAAGCAGATTTATAATTAGACCTAAATGAGAACAGATGAAGTACCAATCAGTAATTATATAGGTGGTCATGATAATCCATTTTCCAACAATGATTTCATCCAGTGAAAATGCATTTTGGAAAAAAGAATTTGGCATTAATAGTTTTATAAATGTTATGTAGCAAAACTTTTTGTTATTTAAAATGTATTTTCTCCCCAACTTTTTTTTTTTTTGAAGAGGTTTTCGCTATAGGGCGTGTGCGCTCGCCAGACAGAGAGAGACATAGAGACAGAAAGCGAGAAATCACCCCCCAGGGGGGATGGTCACGCCGCAATCCCTTCTCCATTCTCCTCTCGGGATCTTGGGCATGCACGCACACGCGCCCTGCGTGAGTTTTAAACCACCGGGTCCGGGACGCGAACTGCGGTCGACTACATGGGAGTCCAGCGACATAGCCATTACGCTAACTGCTGGTTCCCCCCAACTTTTTCTTTTGAAAAATTTCACACTTAGGGGCCAGCCAGTGGCATGGTGGTTAAGGCAGCTGGATCCCACATGGCCAACTGCACAGTTCAAGCCCCAGACCCAGCTGCTTGAAAAACACATCAGCTGCATGTGCATGTGTGGCTAAAATCTTGAAAGTAGAAGGGAGGAGAAGGGGTTGGGGCTATTCTCTGTCTCTCATGCTCATGTAACATAGAACATTAAAAAAAAAATCACACTTAAAGAAATGTTGCAAACCTAGATGGGGACTTTAAAAAGTTTGTAGAAAATGGAATTAAAGTACAAGTTTATTTTGATGGAAAAATGTTTTAAATCCATGTACACATATTTTTTTCTTAGTATGTATTTTCCATGTACCTTTTGGAGACTCCCTGTGCTGGGAGGAACACCTTTGTATTTTTCTCTGTTTGGTTTTGGCTAAGTCATTTGAGTCTTACTTAACAGGCATTGTGACACTTTACTCTTAAATACTTTAGCACATATCTTCTAAGAATAAGCATAGTCTTCGTGGTCACAGAGTATGATTCTCACGTCTAGTAAATTTTTTTCCCCCAGTTTTTTCTATAAGGTGTGTGTGCTCACTGGAGAGGGGGAGAGAGAGGAAGAGAGAGAGTCAAAATGAGAAATGATCCTCTAAGGGGGATGGCCACATTGCAGTCCCTTTTCCACTATTCTCTTGTGATCTTTGGACATGCTTGCACATGTGCCCAGCATATTTTTCAAGCTTCTAGCTTTGGGACTAACTTCACGTACTCGGCCATGAAGGATCCAGGCACCTTAACCTGACTGGCCCTTCAGTAAATTTAATTTTAGAATTTATTATCTGTGATAGAGATAATAGTTTAAAATTTCCAGTCTGTTGCAGACTAGTACTTTTGTAAAATACAGTAAAAAAGAATTACTAGATAAATGAGTTAAGAAGGTATTTAAAATTAAGCCTATTTATTTAAAAAGAATTATTTACTTAATTTTATTTATCTTTTTATAAGGAATTATTTATTTTTCCTTAGGACGCATGCACTCACTGGAGAGAGAGAGAGAGAGAGAGAGAGAGAGACAGTGAGAGAGAAGCTGAGAAATCACCCCTTGGATGGGATGGCCACGCCTTTTCCTCCATTCTCTTCCTAGGATCTTGGGTAAACATGCACACATACCGGCATGAGTTTCAAGTCACTGGGTCCGGGACTCAAACCACAGTCAGCCATGTGGGAGTCCAGCAACATAACCCTTATGCTATCTGCTGGCCCCTATTTATTTTTTTAGTTTGACCAGAGAAACAGGGAATGTGAGAGAGCAAGCTGCCAGGTCCAGGATTAGAACCGTGGGAGTGCAGTGCTTTAACCACCATGCCTACCGCCAGCCCCATTATTATTTTTTAATTTACAGGGCATATGTGCTTACCACAGAGAGGAAGAAAGAAAGCTACCAGATTCAGGACTTAAACTGCAGCTGGCTGTGGGGGAGTCTAGTTACCATGCCACTCTCTGGCCCTGACCTTCCCCACCTTGTTTTATTTATTTATTTATTTATTTATTTTTAGGTTTTTGCCAAAGGGTAGTTGGGCTTGCTGCAGAGAGACAGAGAGAGGGAAAGTAAGAAATCAGTTGCCAGATGGCCAACACTGCAGTCCCTTCTCCCCAGTTCTCCTCTCAGGGTCTTGGGCATACATGCATATGTGCCTGAGATGCCTTTCAAGCTGCTAGGTCCAGGATTCGAACCATGTGGTTGTGGGAGTTCAGTGCTTTAACCCCCATGCCACCTGCAGGCCCTAAGCCCACAGTTTTAATAATATTCAACAAATATAAAATTACATTTCAATAACAACAGTAAGAATGAGCCAAAGATAGGCAAAGGGAAGGAATTTCATAGCCTTATAGTCTTTTCATTAAAAGTGTGCATGTAGGGGTCAGGAGGTGGCATAGAGGTTAAAGTGCTGCCTCCTGTATAGATGAGTCCTCAGTTCAAGTCCCGGACCTGGCAGCTTGAAAATTCCACCAGACACGTGTGTGCATGCGTAAAATCCAGAGAGGGGAATGGAGGAGAAAGGATGTCTGTGTGGCCATCTCTTTTGGGGGAGGTGATCTCTACTTTCTCTCCCTGTCACTTTGTCTCTTTCTGGCAAGTGCACATTTCCTATAGCAAAAACTAGAAAAAGAAGAAAGTGTGAGTATAAGCGATCGATATAGGGATTCACTATTATACTCATATTTTTTTTTTATTATTCTATAATTGAAAGAAAAGAAAAAATAAAATATCAATTCTCATTAAGCATCAGACATACACTTGGAATAAACATTGTTTATATCAATATTTGAACTTTTATTGTGACAGAACTTCTTGTTCAGCTATTTTTGTGTGTGTTTTTTAAGAATTATTTTATTGAGAACTAGCAGTTAGCATAATGTCGCTGGACTCCCACGTAGTCGACCGCAGTTCGGGTCCCGGACCCGGTGGCTTAAAACTCACGCTGGGCACGTGTGCGTGCGTGCCCAAGATCCCGAGAGGAGAATGGAGGAGAAGGGATTGCAGCATGACCATCCCTCCTGGGGGGTGATTTCTCACTTTCTGTCTCTATGTCTCTCTCTGTCTGTCTGGCGAGCGCACGCACCCTATAGTGAAAATCTCTCCAAAAAAAAAGAATTATTTTATTTAACTTTATTTAGTTTTTGAATTTGACCAGAGAGAGACAGAGTGAGAGAGAAAGTGAGATAGCAAATCACCAGGGTCGACCATGTGGGAGCCCAATGCCCTTAATTACCACACCACCTGCTGGCCCCATGGTTTTTACTTTTATCCAAAATGAAGGTAGTCTTACTACAGTTTCAGAGTTCCTCTTCATGGCTTTGTCAATGGTCAGTTCAAGTAATTTATCCTGTCAAGTTATGGTTAAATTTAACTTGGGTTGAACCTAGCAGGTGACTTGGAGGTTAAGTTGCAGGACTTCCACATGGCCAATCGCAGTTTCAGTCCTGGGCTTGGTGGCTTGCTTTCTCCTTTTCTCTCTTTCCATCTCTTTCTCTCTCTCTCTCTCTCTCTCGGGAATATACATTCCTCGCGCCCCACCCCTGTGAACACATATACCCTGTAGCAAATTTAAAAAATGATAGTAATGGGGTCAGCAAGTGATGAGGTGGCTAAGGCACTGGACCCCGACATGGCCATCCACAGTTTGAGTCCTGGACTTGGTTTCTCACTTTTTCTTTTTCTCTCTCGTTCTTTTGCTCTCGCTCTCACGCTCTCTGTTAAGCACATGTATATTATATGCACATTTAAAAAATAATAATAAATAAAATAATTCTTTAAAAAATGGTAATAATGATAAATAGAATTAAATAATTGTTTTTTTTAAAAAGAGATTTTTGCTATAGAGCACATGCACTCAATGGAGAGACAAACAGAAAGTGAGAAATCACCCTCCGGGAGGATGTCTACACTGCAATCTCTTTGTCCTCCTCTCAAGATTTTGGTCATGCATGGACACGCACCAGCATGAGGTTTTGTTTTTTGTTTTTGTTTTTGTTTTGAGAGGTTTTTGCTATAGGGCACAAGCACTTGCCAGAAAGAAGTCCTGAACCTGGCGGCTTGCTTTCTCACTTTCACTCTCTCTCTATCACTTTCTCTGTCTTGCTAGTGAGTGCATGTACCTGATAGCAAGTTAAAAATATTAATAACGATAAATAAAATTTAAATAAATAATTCTTTTAACAAAGAATATGGGTTTAAAATTTTTTCTAAAGAGTTATTTTTTGGGACCATCAGTTGGCATAATGGCTAAGTCGCTAGACTCCCATGTAGTCGACTGTGGTTTGAGTCCCAGACCTGTGGCTTAAACTCATGCTGGGTGCGCGAACATGCATGCCCAAGATCCCAAGAGGAGAATGGAGGAGAAGGGATTGCAGCGTAACCATCCCCCTTGGGAAGTGATTTCTCACTTTCTGTCTCT